ATAAAAAATTAGCGAAGAGTCAGAAAAAAATCACAAAAAATCACAAAAAATCCAGAGAAAATCACAACAAAAAAAATCAAGAAAAACAGAAAAATTGGTGTACGCTACAATTTATAGTAAAGGACCCCTCGCTGGCGGGTCGCAGGCGCTGTGGACGCCGCATCCTCTCGACAGCAGTGTTGCGTGCTAAAGAGGGACATGATCTTCTACCGTCTGATTTGCTCCTCAGATCCACGTGAGTGACGGTCGCTGGCACACGCTGCACGTTTTCCGACGGAAGCGCATGGGCCAGATCCGCGTGGACAACGAGACGCCCGTCAGGGGCTTCTCTGATCCGCGGGCCACCCTGCTCAACACTGGCCCCGGACTGTGGCTCGGTAAGTGTCGGCCCGTTCGTTGGCTGCGTATAGCTTGTTGTTGGTAGCACGTGGGAGCTGGGTTGCTAACAATCGGGTTGTAGGCGGGAGCCCGTCGCTGCCACCAGGACTCCCCGCGGCCTACTACCAGGGCTTCCACGGCTGCGTGAGGTCGGCGACGGCGGACCGTGCCTCCCTGGACTTGAGCAGCGCCACGCGGCCGCACCGCCGCCAGCACCATCCCCACCACGCCGCCCCCACCCCTGTCCCCGGCTCTGGTGGCAGCGTCCTCGAGTTCTGTCACCACAGCACCGAATTATCTTGAAGACTGCATCTCCCACCTTTACCTTAAGACTACCCCCTTCCCCCTCTCCCTCCTCCATTTTCCCGAAAAACACAAGCACAGTCGGAGCATTTGGAGCTTTCTTTGGTAAGTCATCCTTCTTGCAGAACCAAAGATGTGTCGAACCCGACTGTACCCTGCCCCCAAACACATCACTTACGGGCGGTTGGACTGGAAGACAAAGACAATAATGCTGATTTTTTGTGAAATGTGTGAGACGTAGTGAGGCAATGTATGTGTGAGTGTCTGTTAAATAATGCGTGTGTGCGATTGTGCGCGGCGTACGCGAGGGATTAGATGAGCAACGAAAGCATGCGACTGATGCAATCAATGGGTGTAGTGCTGATATTATGGAGTGATTTATGCAAGTGGGGTTCACACTGTCTTCTCTATATGTTACCATTTACATGAAGAGGCCTCGTGGAATGTTTATTGATGGAAATGAAAGATAGAAAAAAGAATGCTAGTTTTATAGGTTTGTATTTTTTATCATGTTAAATTTGTAAGTATTGTATGTATGTAAGTATGTATGTATGTATGGATAAGCTCGCAAAAGTGTTTCTTGTAAAAATGTACAGTAATATAAATAGGAAACTTTTCTACTTTGGCACTACGTTTTATGCCAGTCCTTTGTTGATAATTGTATTTATATCAAGGTAGAAGTTGCCAAGATTTCCTTAGCAACTTACTGCTTGTGACTTCATATCGGCTGCCAAAGACTTTGATGTTGTCTGCAACCAGAAGATGGCAATGTAACAATATACTAGAATCAGTCCTTTTATTTCTCTTTTTACATGTGTATAAAAAAATAAAACAACCCAAGCGCACATTTTGGGCGAGTGTAAAGTACCTTTAAAATAGATAAATTCTTTTTTTTTTGCTATAAAATTAAGTGAAAGGAGTTTTCCAACCCTCCTCTGTTTTCAATGAAAACATAATGTAAAATTCCTCCCAGCCAAATTCTACTATCATTCATATTGGCCTGAATCCGCCCATACAAACAAAGTCCTACAACTCTTCATATGTTCAATTCCATTATGGGGCTTTTAATTATGCTAACAAAGTATGTAGAAAAATAATTTTTAACAAGCATATAGAATCTGTCAAGGTACCAGAAGATCTGTCAACCTATGTGTAGGAAACTATTTGCTGGTATCCCCTTGGCTTAAGACTGCTACCTTAAATATCGCCGCTCTCTGCATGAATGTTTTCTGTATTTAACTCTAGGTCGATCTACACTGTAAAACGTAGAGCGAGTTTTCTTGCCCGAATAGAGCGACGTAATGCCTTCATCGCTCTACTAGAGCGACGTTTGCGAAATGACTCAATATGGGTATTCTTCGTAACCCCAAAATGCTCCCAAAACGACTTTAAACAAGCGATGTTTACGAAAATGACTCAAAATGAGACTTATTTGCAACCAAAAATTTTGCGAAACTGACTCCAAACGAGCGATGTAATTAATATCGCTCCCCCAGGAGTCAGTAAATTGGATTTACAACCTCGCTCTATTAGGATCGAGTTTGCTCACCCCTTTACTTGCAGTGGTAGAAAGGAATTGCATTTATCAGTCAGTTTGTATAAAAACATGATGCAAGACAAGTTTCTCTATAGTTGTGAAAGTAGTGTGACGGAACATCAAAAATTTCCTGCCGAAATAAACCTGGATTTTCTACACTGTTAGCAAATGAATTCTTAATGAATATATGCCCTGCCCCTCCGACAGCGTAATCGAATAAATCGTTGTTTCAATTGAATAAGAGACAACGTATATTATGCCCACATTCGATGAGTGAGTGGCATGCTATACGGCGATCAAAACTACATAACCTGCCCCGACATAGGGGTTTGAAAAAAATAATCACTCACTCAATTTGGATTTTTTTTTCTAATCTTGAGTGCCGTATTTCGCGGCATTTATGCCCCTGCAAAGCGCGCGCATCGTGCGCAATAAAAACCGCGAAGAGGAAATCAACTCGCTCTCCAATTCTGCTTTATCTCCTGACTGCGCAGGTCAAAGTGGGGTCAGCCAACCAGCCAACATGCTTGTTACTATCACAGAATGCTTATCAAAAACGTTTCATGCAGTGCTTAGCGAAAAATACTTCAGTATGAATTGTCTCTGCAGACTGGGAAGGCTGTTGTTGGTTTTCGTTGCTCAAGCTTACGTTGTGAAACGAGCAGCAGCTCAGACGCTGGAACACCTAAAGGTACGCTACTTTGTGATATCAGCCAGTACTCACTCTTCAGGGTATCAAGAAACAGTTTCCGCAGAAGTGGTTATAATGTATCTGACACATTGAAAGAATATCTTCGTAAATTCACAGTATGTATGTATTGTATTTTCGATTTCAAAATATGTTGCAAGTTTGGCGATAGCCCATACTTGCTCGTCAATGAAGTTCCACTCGTAATTCTACTACACATCATGGAGAGCTATCCAGTGGCCCTTGCATGTATTTCTGACAGTTAGGCTTGCTCATGGTGCACTGATAAACTCAGTGTTCAACTGCTCAACACTTATAAGTATACAACTGCAAGTTGAATACTTGCAAGTGTGCAACTGCGTAGTCGTACACTTGCAAATGTTTAACTCGGTAGGTGTGACTTGCAAGTGTACAACTCTTATTCGCTTGAACACTTCCTTAGATTGAACGATCACTGTGTAGGAAGTGCTCAACCGAAGAAATGCACACTTGCAAGTGCACACCTACCAAGTTGTACACCTGCAAGTATTCAACTTGCAGTTGCACCTTTGAGTTGCACACTTGCAAGTATTGAGCAGTTGAACACTTAGTTTATCAGTGTATCCACTTCTCGAAAGATAAGAGGCAGGCACAAAATATGTTCTATGCAATTCGGCAAACGGGTTATTTAATTCTTTTTTATCACTCCTGCAATAGGATGTGGACGCCGGTCATCTTGGGGCTTATAGCAGCCACTTATTCAGTGCATGGAGGTAAGCACATGTACTAAAAATAATTGAGAAATAGTGTCCAAAATGTGGAGGCAGGTACTTTTTAATCATTCAGCTGACGTTTCACGAAATTACCACCTAAAAGTTATCGATCTAGGGACAATGTCTCCCGCTACGATTTAAAGTTTTGCAGGTCACACTTTCTAGTTTTTACTGCCGCTAAACTATTACAGGGCGAGCGAACAATGACCCGCTCACCGTTGGTGACACGGTGCGCATCCGTGTCCTAGTGGAGAAGGATTCTTACTTCGGCGTGGTGGCATGCGGTAGCCTTCAGTGTCGCGGCGTGCGGCTGGAGGGCGTCGACAAGAGCGGCATGGGTTTCAGGACCTTCGTTTCAGACATCGCTGACGTCGAGTCAGCCGAAAGAGAAAACAAGATCCTCCGCGAGAAATGGGTCATCAAGCAGGTAATCATGGACTTCATTTGCTTATTGTCTACTGTAGGGCAATTCCAGGATGTCTTGATAACTCACACGGGACGATTTCTTTAAGTACGCAATTGTGCACTCACCTCTCATTTGAAAATACTTAATAATGACGGCTAACCGGGAAGAGAAGGGAGTAGCGATAGGAAGAGGAGGGAGGGTGTACTGGATGCATTGGTTTGTATTGTTCAACACGAAAATGCAGAAAAATAATAATTTGAAGCGAGCCGCGCTTCGCGCGGGCTGGGCCGAGCATCGCCTCACACTGTTAGAAATTCCGTAGGCTAATTGCGGAATTCTTACGGAGCTCACCGTAAATTCCAAATACGGTACCAAACCGTAACGGGATGACTGTAATTCAAATATACGGACTTGCCCGTATTTCAAATAACGGTGCATCCCGTACATTTTCCCCGTCAAATTAAATTTTTAATAATTTTTGAAACAACTAGTTGAAACTATTGAGCCGTCCATAGAGATTTATGTTATTGCCTCTTTCGCAAAACCACAACTTTACGCTCTCGTATCTCTCAAAATCCAATTTTCCGACTTACAGTGCAATTTATTATTTTTCCTAATCAATAAGTCAAAATTTTACGGAAAAGCTTACGGTTTATCCGTAACTTAGGAATACGGGTTTTCCGTATGGTTTCCGTAGAAAATACGGAAAAATAACGGTACATTCCGTGAAAAAAATTTCTTGACAATTCCGTTCAAAGTTCCGTGGAAATTTCTAACAGTGCAGCCGCTCACCCAGCCGTTTGCATATCCCTGCCTAAGCCCGCCCGATTGGCCACTCTTTTGTCGTCCACTGTTACACAACTTTTCGCCGTTTGAAAAGTGTGGAGCTTGCAGGTAACGCTGCGTTGTGATATGGTTGCAGGTCTTGTCCAGCGCCACATCCTTCGTTCCAGGCAGACAGTACACTTTCGTAGTTAGCCGCCCAACAGAAAGGGAAATGATCTTCTGGGTAGAGGGAAAGGAGAGTCGTGTAGCAAGAATCGGCCTGGAAGAGGGCAAGGCAATGTTACGTGTTGCCTTTCATAATGGACAGTACAGTTTCATTGGTAAGTGTATTGCAATAAGAAAATAGTGAGGATTTTGTCATTTGCCCTTTACGGGAGTAGCATTAAAAACGACGGTATTGAAACGGAAATGTACGAGAAAAACGTGTTTTAAGGGAAAGGAGAAAACTTTGATGGTCTTCCTTGGTTTGAGGGAAACTCCTCAGATCTCAAGGAAGTTTCCTAAAAAATGTCGAATTTTTCCTCATTTTTTGAGAAGGTTTCTTAAATCTGAGGCGAGATCTGAGGACTTTTCCTTAAGGGGAGGCTACACTGAAATTGACATCACCATGAATTATAGGTCATGGCTTAGGGGGAATTTTTTTCACGGTTCAGTATGTCAAGAAAGCGCTAAAAAGCTGTGTCTGCAGTCTGTGGGTCGAACCGTTCAATAGTTATATTTTTGTAACGTTGTTTGCAGAGTCTGACTAAAACTACTCCTTGCGCATTCAATTTGGTCTTAGAAGGTTCGCATAAGGTTCTTTGAAAGAGAAAGGATTAAGGAACAATTTCTATTGACCACCTTCAATTTTATGTCTTGGATGATTTTTAACATTTCGGTTTATATCGGACTTTTTAAAAGTTCAAAAATACTGAAAATTACGGCTTATTTATTTTTTTGTTTACAAAAAATAAATGAAATGTGTAATTATGGTCAATAGAAAGTGTTGAAAGCACTTCAAAGTAGATCTCCACAAATTCTCAACATCATAGCTCAAAACCAAATGCGCAAGGGATATTTGCAATATTGGAAAACAAGGGTCCTCAATAAACCGCAAAAACTAATTTTCTCAGTCTCAAATTGGTTCCGTATTGTGAACTGAATTTATTGACGGCACTAGAGTAGAATGTGAAAAAAGTTTGAGGGATACAGCAGGGTTTAGAGGTGAAAGATTGAACATTACGTACGTAACGACCGTTTTGTTGTTTTTTTTGACAAGAAACCGCCATTTTTCAGTGTAGCCTCCCCTTAAATATGGGAGTTCCTCAAAGTTTATTCCCCCTTTCCCTCGACAATCCAGGGGGATTGCCTGCCCTTTGACGAAACGGTGTTGGGCGAAAATGCCTGCAGGCGCGGATTGCCCGAGTGCCGGCTGGGTGGCCGAAATACCTACTCTTTTCGTTGTGCCGACTTAATTACTTTTATCTTAATTTTCAGATGATGATAATGCAAATTCGCCACCCAAACAACTGTGCCCTGCCGCTTCACTTGACAATCCTTTAGACAGCGCTGAACTTGATGGGAAAGATGCAGATATTTTGGAAGTCTTTGTAGGTTGCAGGTAATGGACGATTGATGAATGCACTGGCAGACGAGGGGGTTTTCACTTCTGAAATACCGTGTACACCAAATGAGGTATTTCACAGGTATTTCACCGGGAATACACCGAAATACGCCTAAATATGCTCCAAAACGGTGAACTTTTCCTGAGAAATACCGACGAAATACACGTATTACGAAATACTGTGTGCACGGAAATCTCGAGTGAAAACCCCCTCGCTGGCAGAACAAATATTTCTAAACCTTGACTAGTGTTTCTATGTTAGCACAACTTTATCAATTAACAATACAGGGTGTCCCACAGACCTGTTTTTTTGTTGTTTTTTTACTGTACTGCATTCACGCGGTCCCTCTACTCGTTAAGCGCATAATGCTTTGCTCCCTGCTATTCTCTTTCCGCAAGTTTAACCACACAATAATAATATCATGTCGGTTTCAGGTATAAAAGTGAGGACAAAATCAACGCAATGTGTATTGTTTACCTCGCGGTGGAAGGCGACAAGATGATTCGTGAGGCTTACCGCTCAAAACTGTCCCGTGACACGTACGATCGCAAGGATACAGCCACAATGAAGTTACCGTTCCGGTTCCAAGATCAACAAATACTCATAATGAAAGTTTACCACGGCGACACAATCTGTGGCAGACTGGAGAGTGATAAGATGATAGGCACCGTCCAAACACCTCTCGCTACTATAAACCGGAAAGGAAAGGTAAGCACAGGTCTAGGCGGGTTTAGTGCCATTCACTTAAGCTCCGATATGCGAGAGCGTAAAGCAGAAGGGTAAAGAGCACCGCTTTGACGTACAAGAGCAGAGTACGCTTACGCTTTACGCTCTCGCATACGCTCTCGCATATGCTCTCGCATATGCTCTCGCATATCGGAGCTTAAAGTTAACCAAACATTAGGTTTATCGTCGTGCCAAGCAGGTTGACTTAGTCAAAATCCATATACACTGCATCTGACCCCTAACCAACCTAAATCTCTATACTAACACTGTAAGTATTCTTCAAAAGGATGGCGATTTAGGTTAGATTAGAGAGGAGATTGATAGATAATGGTACATAGTTCTGCCAAGATAGCATCCTGTTTCAAAAAAATGCTACGATTTAACGAAATTTGTCCGAGTCCCTGTCAGACATTTTATAGTACATTAGGCCTGCTTGTACACCTTGAGAAATTGACTTTTTGTTGCAGGTAGAGCTTTCAGTAACCAACGATCTCGGGGAAGAATTTTTCGTTAATTTTCAGCTTAATTGTGAAGAAAAAATAACATTTTCTTTAAGTGGCAAAAACATTCCAGTTGACCACGACGTGTCCTTAAAGGTGATGAGAGCGCCTTCAGGCAACACGGGGCAAAAGGTATTTATTTCACTTAAAACGTAGTTTTTTTATGAGTTGCATGTGTTCTCATATTTTAAATGGACAAATGGACCAGTTTTACAGAAACAACTTTGTAGAAGTAGTTGAAACTCCCAAGGTATGTTAACGTTACAAAAATATTGTAAGGTAAGGTTTGATTGCTTGAACTTAGTATTTATTTATCCATCAGTGAACAGTTTTAAGTGTGGAAGGCACTGGACAACACTGGTTTCTAGCAGAACTTGCTCTTATTCTGTGCCATTTTTTGCGTAGGTTTCAATGGATACGAGTTTTGTTCATTGGGGCAATATTACTATTTCGGTTAAAGAACTGTGTGACGGGGACTACGACCGACCCATCAAATTTGTTGCTTTAGCGCACGATGACGGAGATTCCAAGCTGATTGGCTCTTTCGAAGCGACGCTCAACCAGCTCAAACAGCCGAATGGCCCTTTCGTGCTCGTAGACACCATAAAACAGGTTTTCCATGCATTGCCCTTTTTAAAGTAGTATTTAACTGTTCAACTAGTGTTCTAAGTCGACTTTTAATTTACAGGCGGAAGAAGGCCAGGCCTACACGAACTCTGGTCAAATTTTTGTCGGGGAAATCCCCTTAAGTCCAACATTCAGTCAGTACGTTGCTGTTGGATTTGAAATAGTCGGTTCGATTCAAATCGACTTTACAGGTAACACAAGCTTTGGAACAGCAAGGGACCTGCAGTGCAGTGCAAGTCAATCCATGTAGCAAATATGTTACGCCGCAAGGGGTCCCTTACTCCCGAATTACGTGTACAAGTTGTGGCGTCGGCAAGTCAAAGAAAGTGCGCGTGAGTTTAAAGCCATTTTTCGCGAGTTGATTGCGAATTATCAATTTTTGAACGCGTGTTGCGTACGTAAAAGTGCACAACAAGTTGGCGAGTGAGAGACACCGTATTCTACAGTGAACAAACTAAATGGGAATACAGTATTTTACTCACGTTGTTTTGGCTCCTTTAAAAATATAGTTTTTGGGCTGGAACATGTTAATCTTCCTCTCGATCTGTCTTAGTTTACCACGACCTTGCAGTTTTTAGATCGTTAGCTCAATTTGTTCCTCAATTATTAGCGTGCAAACAGTGAAACACACACTCAAACACAAAAACAAAATGACACTTTTCAGGTCAGTGGAGTACTGCACTCAGACCAAAACTAGTCAAAGAGGGAAAAGCTGTCCTCATCAGTTCGTTTTTCCTGTCGGACCTTAAGTAAGACAATCACTTCCCCTCTTGGCCAAACGTAACATTTTAGAGTCAACAGTGCTGGTTTTATGGGGGGAAAAGCGAGGTCATTGTATGACGTGCGAGACTACGTGATTTTGAGTCTTCCATTGCAGGAGTCCTGACAATAACGCTTTGTTTCTAGCATCCAACAACGACCCAACGCCCTCCTTACATTATATAAGCGACGTTCCGAATAACTATGAAGTTGCCATTCTGAGTGTAGGTGAAGTCGTCGAGAAGTTTGTTTCGGACTCCATTTTTAAAGTATACGGATTTGGCTCAAAGCTTCCTGGGGAATCAGCAGAGTCCTTTGATTTCAGTCTCAATTTAGGTTCAGATTCACCGGATTGCAAAGGAGTACAAGGTAAGAGTAGTCGCGTTGTGGTAATATTTGGACTTCTTATCACTCTCGTATTCTTCGCGTTTATTTTTCACAAATATTTGTTGTTTATTTGTTTTTCGAACTTGCAATCGTGAATAAGTTTAACATGGACACTTATTACTTTGTTCAGGCGTGCTAAAATCGTACCATGATGCAGTTCCACGGTTAAGCATGTCAGGGCCCACTCATTTGGCGCCAGGCCTTAGGAAGATAGTAAATGTTGCAAGAAACTACAAGGATGGCTCGAAATATCTCGTTCATCTCTTGCTTACTGACGGAGATATTCATGACCCCCAAGAAACAAAAGAGGCAAGTGCTTCGACCACTTGTCATTTTCTGTACGTGTACATAACTTGACCTTTGCAGTGTTGTCATTGAAGGGAATGTGAGTTAAAGGCGCATAAAGTTTTACTTTGAGTGCCACAAAACGACTTCGGCACTTAATTTTATGTTCACTTACTTTTGTCAACGCATTTTATTTTAATTCTGACACTTGCGTTAGGGGCCAAGCAGTCGAAAGTGCACCAGTGGTCTATACTTTCTAGTTCGCACCCGCTTTGTCTCGAAAAGGTTGACATCAGGGTTTCGCGCGTCCGAGTGGGAGTTTTGCAGTGGCGGACATTTCACCGTTATTTCGCGCAGAATTTCTGCCTTTTTTGATACTAAATATACTTGCGATAACAGCCAGATTTTTTCAATTTTTTGGCCGATGTTTAAGTTGCATGGGGTCGTTATTATGTCATTATTTTCGCGCTATATTTTGCAGACAGATTTACATTCAAATATCGGCCAAATAAATATCTCCAGACACACTGGAAACGCAAGTGTGTGAATGTCGCACACTTGTAGGTGTGTGAATATCCATTCGTACACTGAGGGGGGTAAACGTGTGAATTTTTCCTACAAAAAAAATTGTAGGAAAAATTAACACGTTTACCCTCGTAAGTGCACGAATGGATATTCACACACCTACAAGTGTGCGACATTCACACACTTGCGTTTCCAGTGCAGCTACATAGGGCACTCCTATGTTTTAAGTTGACGTTCTATGACGGATGTGCACGGATGTGTATTATGCGATTTCATGCGATCTGAACCTTTTACGAGTTTTGGTTGAAAGTAAATCATTTTACACACCATGAATAGAATACAGTGCATTAAATATGTGTAAATTTTGGTCATTCCACCTTGCAGTTAGCAAACAACCTGCAGGACGGGCCAGCTTGCCCCACCGAAATCTCCTCCTGGAACCGCGCCTCAATGAAACACGAAGTTTATCTTGCAATTTATCTGTTGCAGGCTATTCTGGAGGCATCTTCACTGCCTCTGTCCATAATTATGGTCGGCATCGGAAACAGCGATTTCAGTTTATTAAAAAGGGTCACAGATCATTCAGACGGTGACACCGTTTCTTCGCCGAAACAATGGACCGATGGAAATGGACGTCAACACCGTGATATCGTCCAGTTCGTTGCCATGAAAGATTTCGTTTCCGATAACAGAAATGCGACAAAACGCGCTTTGCGTAATAGAGTTCTCTCCAAAATTCCTCCTCAGTATCTAGAATATATGAAAATTCGTAAAATTGCTCCTAAGCCACCGAAAGGTTCGACTATAACGCGGGAGTGCTAGAGTAATTCTCTAAACTTGTCATTGTTTGTCCAAAACCGTACTCCGCGTAAATAAAATTTTCCTGTTTTCTCCTACAGCAATTATTTTAAAAATGAAACAAGTGAAATACGAACTGTGTATATCGGTGGGGAAGCAATGCATAGGCATGAATTTTTACCTTTGTGGCACATGTACCGATCTACCCATAGTGTGAAAAACAGCCAATACCAACTCCCGGAACTGCTGAACGTTGTTGCTAGGACACGTAAACTTCGGGTAATTCTGATCATTTTATGAGAGCACACAGAAATCAATTAATTATCAATGATTGCTGGTGCAAACAATGTACAATGCGAAACACTGTTTTCTTGTTAGAGTATTTTGTATCGTGCTCGAGGATGAACATTGTGTAGTGCGCACTCTAAATGGAAAGTAACAAAATTGTTCCCCTTAATGTGGAGTGTAGTACTTCCGATAACAAAACCCGTTTAGGACGTTCAATTCCCAATACTCGATAACAATCATCATTAATTAATCAACTGTGCAGCAAAAAAACACATTGGGTAAGAGACTCTTGTCTCTACCGCATAGATAAGCACTTCCACCCATTAATGTTCGGACTTTGGCCCTAAGTGTCGTGCACCTGATTCCTTACTGCGACGTGAGATGGGATCATAGAGACCGCAATGCAGGGAAGAAAAGTAGACAGACTAACGCTAGCCTACGTTTGGCGTAACAAGTCTCACGATCTGTTCCACTGACCTGGCATATGTCCGCGCAATCCTTTAAAATAACATTCAAATTTTCATTTAAATCAAGGAAGCTGATGCTAGTGGGACGAAACCCTGATTATTTGTATGTAGCAATTGAAGATGATTTTTGGGGTTTCTGTAGTTGATTTCTCATATGAATAAAATCGCTTGGTGCCTTTGTATTGCTTAAGATACAATACTGTAGATATCAGAGATGTTTGCTGATGGCAAACTTAACACGTAGAAATCACTCATATGATCATGTATCAGATGGGAAATGTTTTTACTCCTACTTTTTATATCAAAATATTGTAACCTCAAGGTTTTATGTTACTGACCAAACATCTGTAATGGGGTGTTAAAAATAAAGTGCCAGTACCTTCGGATTCACCTTAATGTTTTCTTCGCGGTTCAAGTGTCGGATACGTTTTTGCCGAGTATCAAACGTTATCTTATGTTATTACGTTAGTTACGTAACAACACTGTAACGCTTCTTAGAACTTGCTAATTGTCTGAACTTTTTACAATGGCATATTACTGATATGTGTTTATATGCTTAAGCATTTTTAATACGGCAGTACGAAGAAATTTGCTTATACTGGCGTTTTTCAAAAGTGCAGGAGCTTAGCATGCTAGAAGTGCACTAAGAAAACTGAGCGTTCTAAATAAATTAGTCCATTTGTGTGTAAATCTATGTAAGTCCGTGGCGCTGATATCCGAATCAGAAAGGCAGAGTTGGGGATATGGTCTTTCTGGCTATAGCAGCTACAGTCACTGTCGAAAAACAATTTTCGATGAAACGAATGGTACCCGGAATGAAAAAAAAAAAAACTGTTTTATTCTGTTTTGAGAACTCAGGGGTAGATTTGAGTGGGCCTGTAAAGCTTGCTAAAGATTTTTAACTTTTTCTGCAAAAGAGAAAATTTGTGCCCCAAAGTATCTTTTGTATACTTTTACACTTACAGTGTACAATTTCAAAAAGAAGAAGTGAAGTGTTTGATTATCGATTAGATAGGGTGGAAGTACAAGTAAGGCGGTGATTCGAGAAATTAGCTCTGTCAGTCGTGAGCGTCCAACACAATGTGGAGGTTTCTGGTCTTATTAGTTGTTGGGGCCGTGGCCGCTCAGGTAAAATTCCAATTGTTTTATGAGTTTGATTATTTACAAATCTGCACTTTTCTTCTTTCAATCGAATATCACTTACACTGTAAAATGCTTAAAAACATTTTCTTGGCAACGTTTCGTTCGTATTGCAAAATTGTTTCGCAGCTGCCAGATTCGTCGCAATCTGTGTGTTCATTTTGGAAAGAAAAAATTTGCAAGCTTGCGAACTAGTTTGTATGTCTTACAATGCTTCAAATTACTTTGCAAGCAACCAAGAAATAAATCGTTTTGCAATACAAACCTGTTCTTTGCAAGCATGTTGCAGTGTAGTGACGAGGCTTGTCATGGTGAAGAACCGATAGCGGAGGCAACTGTAATTAACATAACTGCATTTCTGTTTCAGGCCTGGGATATCGCCGAGGATGATGATACGTTTAGTAAGTCCACTTTCTGATGATTTAAAGCAACCAACTTTTGTTGCACTTTAAGTCGAAAGGGAATTCTTGGAGGCCACATATATATCCATAGAAACGAAGTATTCCCGTGTACATCTAAATAAGATGCAGTATTGCCCCTCTTAAAAAGTCAACCCTAGCCCAAAATTTCTTATTCGCGCTTCTTAGGTCGAGTGTCTAAAACTGCTGCGTCACTCTATGGTCCTGTTCGATCTTTAATACATAACTCACGACTTGGAGCCCTGTTTGACGTAAAACGCTTTACTTAAAAATCGTATCACTTGTAAAATTTAAGGTAACTCAAATTTTATGTTGTAGGTGCATCAGCTGTACCCACAAACGAAGCCGCTCCTGGCCAGTTTCCATACCAAGTCGGTATCTGGGCATCACAGGATGGGATAACTTCCCAACTTTTCTGCAGTGGTGCGATCCTTACGAAAAACACCGTTATTACTTCTGCACACTGCGCAAAGTAAGCCTCCTTGTTGAAACTAAAAGAAATAATTTGTCCGTAAGTCCTCTTGCAAAATTCAGTATTGCGTCTTGTACAAATGTGCAATGAAATGCATCTTTCAGCGGACAAAAACAGTTCCTCCGTATTGAGGGGTCTTTATCTTCCAAAAAGCAGAACATACGTACCAAAAATGCATTTTGGGAGGTAAAAGCCCCCTTAAGTGGGTACTCGTCGCCCTAAACACTTATGCGTTTTAGTGTGCAGAAAAATGCAGGATTTTAAGCAGATATTCTTATGTACAAAATGTCGTTCATAACTTTGAAACATGACCACTCACAAATTAGTGGACATTATCGAGCATACAGAGGTATCCACGTCCACGTAGATACATTTTTTCTCGTCGGATGCCTTTAAATACGTTTCCGTTAAGAGAAAGGAACTTGAACTGTATTCTTCCATGTGCAGGGCTGGCCGCTATTTCACCATTGTTTTCGGAGTGCACAACATCTCTGACCCAGCAACAGCAACGCGGAAGACGAGCACAAAACTGATCCACGAGAAATACGTCGATGACCGTGCTCATGATATTGCACTCATGCACTTTGAGACGCCCATCGCGTATTGGCGTAAGTTGAATTCGCATAACGAATGATTTTTGTCCAGAAAATCGCTGTCTGGCTTGTACTATAGCATACTGATTAACTTTTTTCGCGACGAGGGTGTACTCGCTCCACTGATATATCAAGTGTGCAACTGGTAAACGTGAAACAAGTTAAAGGAGAGCTCTCCGTGCTGTCCTTCGTCCGGTTTCTGTGTATCTTCACATTATTCAAAATCTCGAATCTTTCGGTACCAAATCGATGTCTGTCCTTCGTCGCCGAATCGAATCAGAGCAGATTAGATTTGATTTGAGCCGTTCACACTTCACTGCTCTAGAGACCGTTTTTCACGTACTCTGGAAACCCAAGTGTGTACATGTATGCGTTTTTTGATGTATACCCACATGTATGCAGCAAATACATGTACATGGCCATGTACCGGGTGTAACTGAGAATACGCAACAGAGTTGCGGGTTTGCCTACCCAGTTTGCCCGTAAGGCGCAATGGCCCCTGCAGCCCTGGCGGGTATGTTATCCCGCAACACTGTTGCGCATTCTCGGTTACACCCGGTACTCACTTTTTGCTGCATACATGTAGGTATTCAGCAAATAACGCATACATGTACACACTTGGGTTTCTAGAGTAGAAAAGCGAAAAAATTACAACTTCGCATGCAAATATTATATTGAATATAGAAATAAGTCTCAGTTAACTTTAGCGCAGTTCCCCATGGCACGGCAAAAAGGGCCTTTACTTTTGAATGACCGACTTCAAATTTAATTTTGGACTTTGCAAATCATCCTGATGTTTCACCTTTCCATGCAGGTATCTAGCGAAAATTGCACCAACAACTTTAATTTATTGAGTTTTTTTTGTTTCAGTTACTACCGTTAAACCCGTAAACCTTCCATCCGCCGAGCAAGCAAAGCAGAGTTTCTGGAAATCCGAAGTAACGACAAGCGGTTGGGGCGTACTGAAACCTGGTTAGTTTTACAAAACGACGAATAAACAATTGCCGACTCTAACAAAATTATTATGTCCAACAGTGGAATTGGTTGCGTGTAAAAACGTTACTTCTTTAAGAACGAAATTGTTACTTTTGCATTTAGAGTATACATTTGCCGCAGCGCACTTCTAGAGTACACTATATGAGCTATATTCAATTAAGCCAACGCTTGACGCACGCTCCCGCAAGCGTGGCGCACGCTTGGCGGAGCGCGCGGGCAGCAGGCGAGGGGCGGGGTGCGGGGAAGCGACGGTGACTCTTCACCTTTCTTCACCCTGCCCTCCACCTCGCCTCTTGCCCTCGCACGCTTGCAGGAGCGTGCGCTGTGCCGAGCGTGCGCTAAGGGTGGGTCTTAATTGAATATAGCTATGTACAAGGACATTTTTTGGGACTAGCACCGGACTCGTGCGTACACAACTGAGTTCAGATACAATATCGTTCGGAGCTAGCTACGAAAATGTGTATTGTCAGTCACAACGCAGTTATGGACATTGCACACAGCAGCTTTGCGCTAGGTACAATAATTGTCTCTGTAGACATTTTAGAGTCGTGTACCTTATTTTATGATCCGTTATGAAGGGCAAATATTTGTAAAACGTTTTAACCGGACAAATTATAATTGTACATTTATCTCTTGGTTTTAGGCGATAGAGAGTACTCTCAAGTTCTCCGATTTGCCAAGTCGAAAGTAGTGCACAACCTCTGGTGCACCCTTCGTTACTTCTTCCAGCGCGTCTACAAAACTAATATTTGCGTGAAATCTATTCAAATGTGCCAGGTACGTGCCCATTTGATTCGCGTAACGCACTAACTATACCCACGTGCCTTTGACCTGTGAGCAGGTCGCACGAGTTCAATCGCCTTTGAAACATAATAGGACGTGGACACGTAAATAACACCCGATCGAGGAGAACTGTCCTGTTTAAAATTTGTTCTTCTATTACAGGGTGACTCTGGGAATCCCCTAGTTATTTATGGAGAAGATAACACTCCTACACTTGTGGGCATCGCCTCGTTCGGCGTTGCTCAAAGTTGCGAGATGTCGAAGCCAGCGCGCTACACTCGTATCACCTCGTACCTTAAGTGGATTCAGGACGGCATCGAGACTTTGGAGAAGGCCAACGCCTAAAACCCTTCGCAAAAAATCCTGCGGAGTAACAAAACCAACCGTGTTTGCCTATCATGCACCTCAAAAGCTTGTGCCCGCTGACATATTCTGCACACATTCCTAAAAATAGCACTAATTTGTTGGTAAAATAAAGATGAGGCCATCGGATTTTTTGTAACTTATTTCCAACATACTCTATCACGGGCGTGGCATTGCGTCTACGTCCGTTCTGTATTGTCTCCGCTCATGGAAAGATCATATCTGTATGAAGGAAAGATATTGTCGTTTCGATCAAACATGAGCTCACATATTACAATTTCTATCATAAAGCGAAAAACGTAAGATAATCGTGTCTAACAGCTAAAAGAACTTGTCCAGATCAATGTGTCATCGATTGACGATATCTCGCCTAGTCACACATCTTTCGAGAGGTGCATCGCAACCGGTTATGTACGTAGTGCCAACCAGTCATTTTCAACACGCATTTAGGAAAAATTACTCCTAATCAAGATAGTTGAAGCGATATGAAGCTTAATACCCCGAAATAATGTGAACCAGCGTAAAGGTTTAAGAACATGCGTTCCGGAGGGAAGTTATCATCACGTCCAATCATTTCACAAATCAACTCTGACCCTAGTCATTTTCCAGTCAGGCCCAGTCATTTCACAATGATCAATCACTCAGTTTTGACTTATTTTTAGGCAGTGTGCACTCATTCCCGTAGTTAGGTACCGCTCAGGCATTGACAAGTGACCACGCTGATGACTTAGCGACGTAGAGGATGGGGTTGGCGTGGTGGTCATTAGGGTAAGTCGTATATGGCTTATTTTTGATTCTTGTGTTGTAATAGTGCTTCCCTGGTACCATTTTGAATGAAAACTGCTGGAACATTTTTTATGTACTTTCCTCGAACGATTTCACGATTTCCTTGCCTGTTATTCTGACTTGCAATTAGCACCTTGCTCCATAAGAAGAACAAAAAGAAGATTGTGGTGTAGCTTAGCGCGGTCTTACAACAATGCAACATAACCTGATACCAATAACCTGTAAACTAGGGTTTTGTAGACGTTATTTGATAAATTTCTGTTGAAAGTACCCTTAGTACCAGGTACATATTAATTTGAAAGATGTAACACGGAAAGAATCGTAAAGGTCCAATGTTCAATTTTTGTCTGCAAAAAGTTAAGCAGAACGAGCGTTAGTATAACTCGAAATCAAGATGTCTCACTCTCATTTCCTTGAGGACCAGCAATCGAGAATTAAAGAAGCATATGTGAGGTGGCACGAAATATTGGTGGGACAGAAAACATACCCGAAAACATTGAATACTCTTTACCTGCTCTTGGGGGAGCAGTGGGACAAATAACAGATGGGACAATTGACAGGTGGGACAAAAAACACACCAAAAAGAAAAACAATGGAAAAATTCTGTGTCTTAGGGTGGTGGGACAAATAACAGGTGGGACAAAAAACACACACAAAAAAAAACAATGAAAAAATCCTATTCCTTCAGAGTTTTAAGGAGGTGGGACAAAGGACAGGTGGGACAAAGGACAGGTGGGACAAAAAAACACACACACCAAAAAAACAACGAAAAATCCCATTTCTTAGGTGTAGTAGAAGTCGATCGGGTGTGCCGGCTAATAAGGAGGCACATGGTTTGCGATGCAATTGTGTATTCCAATAAACAAGCACTTGTACAATA